TCTAATTTTCGATAAAATCTTGAAAATTAAATATTCTTGTAAACTGTTACAGTTTTATTAAAATTTTTCACTGTTTTCATACGACACTTGCTGCATTTCGTTTGGACTACTATTAACAGGATACCCCTTACGAGTATAGATAAATGCTAAATCATTGCTTTAATATATATGTCAGAGTCACACGGCATTTTCAGGGGTGGAACTAAAGAAAAAAGTCCGCATCTTGTCTTAACTTTTTATGTGATGCCAGTAAAAAATATAGTAGTAAAAATAGGTTAATTTAATGGGCCAACACTTGCTCAGTGCGGTATTCGAACCTGCGGCGGCTGGGACCAAACGCTTAGCCTCAGTCACTGCGTTACGAAGCCAATATTTAAAAAATAATTTAGAAACATGTTGCAAGCGAAAGGCAGAGAGAACGATCAAGTTTGAACTGTCATATATTGGACCCATTGTAACAACTTCCAAATGAAAAATAAAAAAGCCTCTTCGCCTTCAACTAATAAAACGAATCCTTGAAGCACTGCTCAGAACTCAATTAATACAAAACAATAAAGTCCATCAGAGCAAAGAAAAAGGAATTATTTTGAATAATATGATCGTGATAACATTTTAATAGCAGTTTGCAATACGGTCTCGACATTGTTACGAACATGAGATGTTTAGCTGTTTTAATATTATTTGGTATGTAATATTTTTGTTTTGTTTCTTTCCAAAATCGGCTAGGGAAGACAGAGAGTATTTTTCTGAGAACATTCATTTCACGTCGATGTTTGTAATTTGATATAGTTAAAAATAATACCACAGTTAAGAAATCAATCAAAACTCGCATTAATCATGAGCTGTGAAAACTACGTCATTAATAATGAAATTATTGTATTTTCATAGGTTCTGAGACGCCTCCAAATTTCAGATCATTCACATATAAAGAAGTGTGTGAACACTAAATTATAAATTCCATTACATTCATACATACACATAGAAACATAAACAATAAAAACTTATTTAATGTAAACTTATTTGCTTTAGTTAAAAATAAAGAGGCGACTTTATAGAACTAAAAGAATAAACTACACCTTTCATACGTGTATTTTATACTATTTTTGGGTTGGGGCATAAATTATATATATATATATATATATATATATATATATATATATATATATATATATGTGTATATATATATAAAGCAAACATTTTGAATTAAATTAATTAAGTAAATATATATATTAATAGTTACTTTGCAACCATCCGCTCAAATTAAATAAAATGATGTGTCTTACCTAGTTTGAAGAGCATCTCCCGCCCTCCCTCAATTGCGCGCACTAATCCCGTCACCACTAATCCCAGCACCACTACTCTCAACACCACAACTCCCAACACCACTATTCTAGGTAAGACACACCATCGACGACAATACGGCACGTGGTTCGCCTCTACACGAAACATATTCAAGTAATGTAAACTCTACGGCAGCTGACCGCTAAGTGAAGTGCTAAGCTAAGTAAAGAGAGTATATATATACTCTCTTCACTTATATATAATGTTAAATTTTTTATAACATTGTGTGACAAACGAGCACGCAGTCCACCTGATGGTAAGTAGATGCTGTGGCCCATAGACATCCATGCTTATCTTTAATTAAGAATCCATTTCATTCCATTCCAGCAAAAAGGGTCTCCGGTTCTCTACACTCACCATACGAAACACAGCAGTATTAAGCTGCTATTTTACGCAGGTATTCTGTGAGAGCGTGGTTCTTCCCCGGCCGAGCCGACTCATTCGTGCTACAATCATGATATAGCTTCAACGTGCCTCTACCACGAATAAATATATATGATTATTTATGAAGAATTAACTTTGAAGTCGGCTTTTACTTTTTATGAAAACTTATTTTGTTACCCTTTCGAATGGACCAAGGAATAACGCCTCAACGTCGTCTAAATAGTTTCATGAATAAATTCATCCCTTATTTTGTCACCCTCATGGTAGTATTTCATTTTCTTTATATGGGACCTATTTAATAAAAAAAAAGAATCGTCAAAATCGTTTCATAATTGACTAAGATAAAGCGTAACCGCGATTATAGGTGGTAGAGCCACGCTGCAGTTATATTACGGTTGTAGCATGAATGGGTCAGCTTTAATGGGGTAATACCAATCTCTCACAAAATGCCAGCATAAAATAGCAGTCTAATGTTGCTGTGTTTCGTGCAGTGAGTGTATAAAACCCTTTTTACTGGAAACGAGGCACTCTTTCTTTGTCTTCAGAGGTTACCACGCTTCAGCATTTTATTTTTAATCGATTATAAAGGTGAATTGTTGAAATTGAGCAACACGGGCCACCATTGCGATTGGGCCGTGATGCTCTATGCACGTAATATGCATACAAAAACAAAAACCAAAAGTCGAAATTGTATCTAAACCTCCACAATTTTTAATGTCAGCAAATTGATTTTAGTTTAATAAAGTTTCGGTACCTACCACACACTCAAAGGTTGAAAACAGACAAACAGGCATATCTGGTTTCTGATGATGTTAGTGCTGTTAGCCTTTTGGCTCTTACAGTTTTTTAGGTCTCAGGTTTTCCGGCCTTTCAGGCCGCAAACCCGAGACCATTATATAAAATTAAACACCCAACGCTACTTTTGTAAAGAAGTGCACCTACGAGCGCCTACGAGCCTACAACCTAATTGGCTAATTCGTATTGTCAGATCAGGGCGGTGAGAACTGCCTACAGACGCGGATGTAGGGTGAATACACCAGCGTGTGAGTACAGAGGGGTATGCGGCGCGCTCGTCGGTGAACTCTCTACGTCCCATCCGTTGTCCCAACTGTGTTTGTGGCGCTACGTGCATATGTAGTATATGTGTGTGACGGAACGGCGACATTTGACGACGTCGGAATCTAGCGGAATTAGAGGCAAGTCAGAGCAGAGACATTAACAGGACAGCTCCATGGCGTAGTGGCTTAGCGATGAGTTGCGGCGCTGGGGGCCGTGGGTTCGAATCCCGCACGGAACAAGTATTTGTATGGCCTGCAAATAATTGTTCCATGTCAGGATGTTTGACCTTCTGCAATTTGTTTGTAAACTGCCTCTTTGATACAGGAGAACATTTTACTGTTGGGTAACGTTATTTAAAAAAAAACAAATAAAAAAATATTTTAAGGACATAATGAAGTCTGTGAACACAGAGGAAACGGGACAGACTTTCCTCCTACATATCTCTCAGAAAGAGAAAGCTTAAGTCCAGCAATGGGACGTTTGTCTGCTACATTCTGTAAGAAGAGAAGAATGAATACATTAAAAGCTATTTTTGTTTTATTTTTAATAGAGTTCAAAAAACAGGGTTCTATATTCGACGCGTATATTTTTTTATGTGTGAATAGTGACCTGCCTCAATTTCGTCTGGGTGGAATATATTAATGTGGCTATTACGACTCGATCAGAGAAGGACTACGCTCTCACAGAATACCAGCGTAAAATAGTAGCTTAATGCTGCTGTTTCTTATGGTGAGTGAACCGGAGACCCTTTATACTGGAAACGAGGCATTCCATCTTAGTCCTCGGGTGACAACGTATCTGCTTTTTGAATCTTAATCGAAGATAAATGTAGATGTCTATGGGCCGCAGCATCCAATTACCGTCAGATGAACTGTGTGCTCGTTTGTTACCCTTATCCCATAAAAAGATGTAACTGGATAAAAGTATGTCAGTGTGCATTTTTCGTTATACTGTCAATTATTACATAGTGGTTACCCGTCCCGGCTTCGCTTATATAGAAAGTATTTATGTGGCGCTATATAGATTTAAGATAATCTAAAATCATTTATTTTATCAATTTTAAGTTCTTCCAAAAAACTCAAGATAACCGTCTCACATAGAGAGAATCGTTGAATAAGTGTCCATCTGTAAGTACTTTATAACAGTTCAAAAACTCTCCACAACAGCGCTGGAGTAGCTAGAGGGTATGAAATGAACTTAGCAGTTGTCGACGGAGTGAAGTGTGCTGAGTTGAGGAATTTAATATTTGTGGTGACTAGAGTAGTTAATGAGCAGTACAACTACTCACGTTGTCTAGAATAATTTAGTAAAAATAACCTAGAAAAAGTCACCGTGAAACACGTTGAGAGTGATTTTGAAATTAAAACTTTGAAATCAATAAAGCTATTATTATAAAAAAGAATTATGGTGAAAGTTTGTGCAATAAAAAGTTTTAAAATGTTCTTTAAAATTTACCCTCTAGCTACAGTGGCGCCGCCCTTATTTAACGCTTTTCTACGGACACTTTTTAATACAGAGACGGTTCTCCTTACCTCTACACTCCATGCTCAAAAGGTTGCAGGTTCGATCCGCGAATCGAATATTGTCATGAACCGCTCCTAAGACAAGCATATAGGTTTACCAGGAGTGGTTACAGGGAATATTAGTTATGTTAATAACATTGTTAATGCCTATTTTTTAATAATAGTCTAAATCCCTCCTTTTAGTGCTCTCTATCTGTCGTTATAGTTTCATCACAATCGGTTTAGCTGTTTCGAAAAAAGGTTTTAAAAATAAAAAAAGGTTATTTATGTCATAATACCATGTCAATAACACCCTGAGCTTAATAGAATCCAGTTATATCAGTATTACGTACAGAGTCTTCAATTTTTTTTAAAAGGATAGAATTACAAATGAGCGCACAGTGCACCTGATGGTAAGTGGTTGCTGTGGCCCATAGACATCTACATCTATCCTCGATTACGAATCAAAATGCAGATGCGATGTCACCCCTGAGGACTAAGATGTTATACCTCGTTTCCAATAAAAAGGATTTCCGGGTCTTTACACTCACCATACAAAACACAGCAGCATTAAGCCACTATTTTACGCTGGAATTCTGTGAGAGCGTGGTCCTTCCTCGGTCGAACCGACTCATTCGTGCTACAGCTATACCACTAATATAACTGCAGTGTGGTACTACCACGTATATATGTAGGTATAGATTATGTGCAAATATGTTTGCAGCGACCCATTCATGCTTTTGCGATCGAGTGGCAACATCAGACTACAACAAGCTGTCAACGCCGTCTCAAATTCGGAGAAAGAAAATAGATGTATTTAACAACACGAACTGTACCAAAATAGAATGTCCGACAGAAGAGAAACGTATGTGCGTCAAGTTAATAAATAAAAGGGAATACGACTCGAAAAATATTTACATAATGGTTATTAATAAATGCGAAATTGGATATATTAAATGTCATAAAGGTAAGTCTACGTTTATAGCATCAACACCAATCGTTTCTATACCCCCTACCTGTATCTCATATGTTGAGTTATTCTGAACGTTCTTTGCAAATTTGGCCGGTAAAAATAGCAAAATAACCCTGTATAGTCAGGTGACTTTGTAGGGCACGTAAACCATAAGCTAGAACGAGTCAGGACGAAGTTTCAGATATTAAGTAATGTATATGTTCACAGGGAACAATTCCCTATTTGCTTAGCATATACGGGGAGTGCTAAGAGGGATTATTCAGACCAATTCCAGCAATTTTACCATCGCACATCGCGACAAAATTCGCAATACCATCCTTACCATTTGGATGATTGGCGGTCCACCACTGTGCGATTAACAAAAAGTTTTCTTCCTCGCACAACTTCCTTGTGGAATCGACTACCATCAGCGTTTTTTCCGGACCGTTACGACTTAGAGACCTTCAAGAAAAGAGCCTACTCTTTTTTAAAAGCTCTCTTTTTTAAAAACTGAAATAGTACAATGGAATAGTAGGATTTAGGTACGTCCTACTATTTCAATGTACTATGTCTGTTTTTTTTTTCGTATAGCTTGTGCTCAACTACTGTCCCGTCTGGTGGTAAGTAGTAAAGAAGCTTAAGATGGTGAATCGCAGTTTTAATTTTAACGTGCCTTCCAACCAACCTTCAACCTACTCCACTCCTCCGACTGCTATTCTTCGGGTCTTTTTTATACAATAAGGATGACAAACAGATACATAGTCAACCTGATAGTAAATGGATGCTGTGAACAATAGACATCTTCATCGATCAATCGCCCCTGAATAATAAAATGGAATGCCTCAATTCCAGTAAAATATGATCTCCAGTTCTCTACATAAGCCATACGAAACATAGCAGCATTGACCTGCTATTTCAAGCAGGTATTTTTAAGGGTTCGGTTCTTCACGGTTAAGCCGACCAATACGACTCGACCTCGACTAAATATTACGAGAAAATCGGATTACGATACTGTAATAAGTAATATGTAGAAAGAAAAGTGTAATAATTCGTTAACAGGACTAGAAGCAAAGGTAGTGCCGATGAAGAACTGCCTTCACAAGCTCGCTATTGAAAATCGTAAGTAGTATTTATAAGTATGTAGTGTTTATAGCTGCGTTGTGATTGGAGCAGAGAATACATCGACTCATTTCGTCCCGTGGGTGTCCTAAGCTCGTAAGATTCGAGTATGGAAAGGTTGACTGAGATCAGAGGCGAATTAAATGTTGACAGCGTCCTAGCCTAGCACCTTATAGACGCCAAATGATTTGGACACGTGTATCCTTAACAGGTGGGCGTGAATAAAAACAGCGATGAAGGTGCATTCAAGTATACGATTTTTTTTGTTTAAATACTTCCACGCACGCCCCGTTTTAACTTTGCGCCTCAAGGCACGTGCCTATTTTGCCTTTAGGATAATCCGCCACCGACTGAGAGGGTTTTAAGGCAAGGAAGTGTCGACCCCGCTGCCTCAATGCATGTTGCACTTCACATATCTTCGATTTTTTTTGTTTATCGTTATCGATACCGTTACAGCCTATTCAAAGTTCTTGCCATGGATGTTAGAGAACAGGAGAAAGATCGCCGTAGAAAATAGTGTCCCAGAAATATGGACACCATAAGTGAGGCGCTGCGATCGCTAAGTTGGCTCAATAAAAGTCATTTTCATATTTTTTACGCCGAACGTAATACTCAGATTGGCGACGAGGAGCAGCGTAAAAGGTGCAAAACATCTGGGTCTATGATCCTTAATCCACCTGTAAAGAATTGAGATTGAGGGAAATCCCCTCTACAAGCCAAGAGAGCCTCGTATTCAGCAGTGGATTTTTATAAGTTTCTCTGCCTGGCTGGTGTAGTGGTAGTGAGAGTATTTGGCCAAAATCAGTTATGTATTGGATTTTTATGACATGGATTACTCAGTAGCAGCTCGGAGTCGGAAAGATGATGGTACTTTACCAACCTGCCTCAGACGTAAAGTAAGCATGTAAAGCCGTTGGTCTTGCGTCCGAACTCTCTCCGGTCGTGTCGGATTACTGTGCCAATGGATTATGAAAGTGAGGGAACACAGAGTGCACAACAGTGCTGTGTGTCTCGGGCACTATAATCACTATAATCGCTTAACACTCCGAGAAAAACGGCAGAAAGTAAATAAACAATAAGTACTTTTTTTCTTACCTCCATTTAAAAATATTACAATTAATTACTTCTCCTCAACTCTATCTTAGCTCTTATAGAATGCCTAAAGTCAACACTTGTCAATTAAATTTATATATCTATATATATAATAATAAAATGCTATCCGTTACGGTACGTGTACACAGTGGCGTAGCTAGGTGACCAAGAGCCCTGGGGCAAATTAAAAAATAGGGCTCTACTGCTATCTAAACTGGTTAGGTTTTATCAAGTAAAAATATTAAATATAAAAATACTTTAAAAATGGTAAGCTGTTATCATCAGCTCTTTTTCGTGCACTGCAGGGCAGGTAGTAAAAATGTTAAACAGCAAGAATATAAATTATAATACAACAATTATATTTACAATCTTTTCCTAGCTTTAGTTTTCGCAAAAGTATCAATGACTTCGGTTAAATCCAGGCTTTATGCGGGTTTGTTTTCAATTTCTATTAGCGATAAACGTCGGAGTCAAGTTTGGCCCCTACTATTTCTTAAATAATTTGACCTTTCAACTACTGCAGAAGTGACAGGAATTGTAAAGAATAATAACTTTGCTGTAAATACTTCCGTTAGGAAGTCCTTCTAGCACTCCATATTTGCTCATTATTTTCTTAAGTACATAATTGGTGAACAGTCCATGCTTGAATTAATTGATGTAAAACTAGGTGGTAATTATTAATAAATTGAAGTGAAAAACTAGGGCTTATTATATCTGAATACTTTCTTTGGATTCATCAACATGTAATAAAAATGTTGGTGTTAGAAAATCGAATATTTGACTGACTGCATACATACCAGTAAAACGTGTGTTTAATTCACCTATTAATGTGTCTAGTACTTTATTCAAAATCTCAATTTTAAATATTTCTTCTCTGATTGGTAATCGGTGATCAGCAGCTAACTCATCAAAATGTTTTTTAGCTTTCCTTTTCCTTTTTCTTAAAAATGGGTATCTGTACCATATTTTCTTGCAGTTTCACTGGATTTGCACTAGAATAATTCTAAATCATTCTTATGAATTTGCAACTTTGCTTTGGTCTCTGCTAAAGCTTTAATTGCCCCACCCAAATTGATGTCGCATTTTTGTAGTTTTGGATACATAATTCATGTCATTCAATACACTGTGCATGAATTAGCAAAGCAACACGAACTCCAAAGTTAGCATTTTTTAATTCTCTATGCTTCACTACGCTCATCTTTATTAGGACTTTTTAGAACTATTTCTGATAATGCTTTGATATAAAAAAAACGAAATTTTCAGATATCGTATTGACCCTACTGGACCATCTAGTTGGATTTAGTTTTTTTTTTTGAGTGGTGTCCGATTCGCCAGTAAATTTTGACAGTAGATCCTAACGTTTGATGCTTTTTCCGAAAAAGTTAAACAAATCTTGCAACGTTGCGAAAAAAATCTGTATTTCCACACAACTGCTAACGGCATCATTTATCACCAAATTTAAATTATTAGTGGCACAATGTATGTACTTCGCGTTAGGCTGGATATCCTTAATATGTTTTTGAACACCATTATACACATTTTTTGCAATCAATATTTTTGTCAATAAATAATGTTTGTTGACTAAATCTGCTGCGCCATGTTTGATAGCTGCCTAGCCTAGAAACACTTCTTTTACTTCTATATTAATTGGCTGTCCATTTTCCGATATGGTTATTACTGCATATCTCACAACAATGCTTAGCTGATCTACCTTCGATATGTTTTGTGTCGTACCCATTATGATGGCGAAAAACGGTGACGCCCTAATTTGTCTTAGTTAGTAGATAGGTTTCGAGTTTGGTCCCCAAGCTCTCAATCATTTCATTCTAAATTGTTGTGCTCAGATATCTTGTAGATCCTAAAAAATTATAAAACACAGAAAAACAGTTAATAATTATAAACAAAATAAAATAATAAAAAATCTTATGTATACTATTATGTATACTTATAAAAATCTTATATAAGTAATTACTTTTGGGTATATCCAAAACTTGCCGCAAAATGTGATCATATCGGGCAACATGCTCTAAAAAGGAAAGAAAATTTCCATGTTATTCTTCTTGACTTAAGTCTTCTCGGTGTACTCTCAAAGTCAAAGTAGTCTTTGCTAGGGTAAGTATGATATCGAATAACCTTTGAAGAACCATTTTCCAAAATGATGCTCCTTTACGAATTTCATTTTCAAGTTCCTTATCGATAGTATTAGTATATTTTTTTTTCAAAATTCATACACAGCACATGCTTCCAATCCCGAATTCCCGTACACGAAATATTATTCCTTTGTTAAGCAAATAACCAGCAGGGTTGACAATATGCAGCGTCTAGTATTTTGGAATAACACAACCAAAAACGATTAACTAGTCCATATTTAGAACGTAATACGATTTTGAAAAACACCTATTGTTCTGGTTGATCTCTGTTGGAAAAGGTCCTGAAGGTGTCAGGGCCCCATATCAAGAATTTGACGTTTTTCGTTATCACTTAATATTTTATCTGTGAAGATTTATCGTACACATTTTCAAAAAATGTAGAGGTTTGTGGTTCCTCCAAATCCTCCGCTCTTGTGTGCCATGCAAACATCAACCACGTTCACATGATCGGCGGCGGAGGTATCTCCAACTGCAATAATTGTCGAATCTTCTTCAGTAGGCTTCTCAACCAACACTGCAGTTACCACATTATTTAAGTCACTATCAATAGAAATATTTTGTCAGAGTCCAGAAGTACTTGCAGAAGGCTAACTAAAAAAACTTGTCAATTTTGGGTAATTTATGTTTACTATCTTCTCTTTCTTGGCGTTTTTGGCTGTTTATAAGTACCACTGGGTTTCTTTTTTGTCCATAATTTTAGTTTTAGTCAAATTAACAACACTGTTAACCCACAGAAAGAAATTAGAGGAATTCCCTAGGTATAAGTTCCGAATTTCCATGATTAAAGTCGAAAGATTTTCTGGTAAGGATTCGAGGGCCCTCTGAGCTTGAGGGCCCCGGGGCACTGCCCCGCTTAGCCCCTAGGTAGCTACGCCACTGCGTGTACACCAAATCCCATTTTGTCGGCCGATGGCGGACAGAACTACCAGGACGTGTAACTCGGACGTGTATGTGCTTACACTGCAACAGTGTACCACTAGTTGGCATTGAACGTTGCCGGTATTCTTTTCTATTTTACTATTTTCAATATCCATAGTCGTTTAGGTAGATAACAACACTGACAGAAACAACAGAATAAAGACATAATCGAAGAATAAATACACTCAATGTTTACTGTAGACGCCGGCAGTCGGGCGAGAAATCCCAACAAGTTCGGATTTGACGGTTGATCGGCCGTTTTCGTGCGTTATCGGACGATGACAGTCGCGTATATGTACGCGCTCTCTTTGTTTTACAAGTGTTTGATTCGATCGTCCGAGTTCGGCCGTTGCCGCCCGTGCAAACTTCGGCCGATGACGGATTTGGAGTATGCCAAGCGTAGTCTCGCTAAAACTCGAAAAAGTCTCGAATATTTTGATGTATTTTTTGTGTGCACTTGAGTGGCTCCCTGGATGGTTTAGATTTACAATGGAACCGGTAGGTGGCGTTGCTGTCGAGATCTAGAAATCACCCGTGCGATTCCGGGGCGGATCGCTTGTCTCTATATATAAAAAAACAATTGGTGACCGTTAGTGTCGCTAAAACTCGAAAATGCCTTGCCCGATTTTCATGGTTATTTTGTATGTGCTTGAGTGTGTCCCTGGATAGTTTAGATTTATAATTGGACCCGGTAAGTGGCGCTGATTTCTGGATTCAGAAATCACTCGTACGAAGTCAGTGCGGATCGCTAGTAAATAAATAAATAACAATTATAATTTTATGTTCCAGGCAGTTATGTTCCAGCAGCCCAGAAGAAAAGGATTAAAAGAAGTCCGAATATTGGTATGTACTTATTATCTTTACTTCCTTTTGAAAAAATACTAGCAATGTTATAGTAGTAACTACTTAATACTAATATTCTCATTGCTACTAAGCTCAAAAGGCGTGTGTGTGTTTACGACGCCGCTCTCCCTACCCTCTGCGGTCGCTGCGGTTAGCGACGGAACCAAAGTTTTGAACCGCCGCCGGGGTCAGGATGGCTGGTGTTTACGTGTGCTCGTTTTTCCTGGCTACATGGTCTCTGCGTGTCGGACTCTGGGAGTCCGTAGCGCATGAGAAGTTAGAAGCTGCGGAAGAAGGCCCGCTTTATGTTCTAGTGCGCCTTACCTGAGAAGGAGAAAGGGGAGGAGTTTTCCTCACATAGGGGGCTGGTGTCGGGGGCCTTGCCAATACGCGACGAAGGTAGAACACCACGGGGTTTTAGTCGGTGTGAATCCGACATAGCCCTTCGGCCCTTCCTTGCCCTGCGAGGCGAGTATGCGTAGACAATCCCAATTTAAAATAAAAACTGGCCAAGTTTCTTAATAATGAGCATAATGAGTTCGCGGTTTGACCGCTATAACCACTAAAATTGGGCCCAAATAAGAAATTAGTAACTGAAGGACTTATTTTCAAATGAGACTTTTAGGGAGTGGCATTCAAAAAAGGTTTAAAAAATTCGATTTTGAAAATAGTACATTTTACATCAAATCATTCGCATGCCTAGTAAGTACAAATATGATCATAGTTGACTATATATCCATATATTCCCGGCAGTGCAACCCTAAGATATACATATTATATGACCATAACCTTCACGTAAACCACCACTGCCCTAAATTATCCTATATGAAGCTATATGATTGTATAAATACTTTGAATGAGACCTAAAATAACCACCAACTAAAAAATAAGTGAAGATAGTAAGAAAGAAAGATCAGCCCTGTCTATCCCGAATAAATGACAAAGTACAGCTGTAGCAGTAATGCATATAAGTCGTTTTCTTCATAGCATTTTTATTTTTTCAGTTTACAATAACATTACAAAGTTATAATTCAGCTAGTTTTAGGTCATTTTCTACGATTATTTTCATTACGTGGTAGAGCCATGCTGCAGTTATATTAGTAGTATAGTTGTAGCACGAATTGGTCGACTCGACCGGGGAAGGACCACGCCCTAACAGAATACCAGTGTGAAATAGCAGCACAACGTTGCTGAGTTTCGTATGGTAAGTGTAGGGAAACGGGTATCTTGGTCCTTACAGGTGACAATCCGCATTGCATTTTGATTTGCGATATAGATAGAGGATAAAAGGGCCAAAGAAACCATTTACTGTGTGCTCGATTGTCACCCTTTTCCTAAAAAAAACGGAGTTGAAACGAAATTTCGTTAACTTGTTAATTTTACCTAGCTGTGAATTTTTTTGTTTAAACTTCATTATATATAGTACTATCAAGTATACTTTTCACAATTCCAAAAACAGCAGTTTAGTTGAAGAAGGAGGTACACATGACTTTTAAAGCTAAGTATTTCGCAAACTGACCTAAGGGGTCTAGAAGATATTGTTCCAAACCCACAATGTTTTTTAAAGACCTATCCAACGATCGAAAAGACGGGTAAAAATCATTCTCCATTCACTTGTAGGGGAGGTAACCAAAATAAAAAAGTTTTTTAAGATTTTGTTTTACAGTGTTAATTAATATCTATATTTATGCTAAATAACAGATTTGTAGGACCTAGGATGTCTGAGTAAAACTACAGACAGACAGATGGACATGGCTATACTTTATGGGTACCTTGTTGTGTAAATACTAACCCCTAAAAAGGAGTGGAACCCTAAAAAGGAGTGGTTCAAGACAGTAGGCGAATGGCATATTCCAAACCAGAACTCTATGTTGCCAAATAAGCACCTTTAGTTATTTAGATTCTATCCCTTTTAATTATATCTTTGTATGTTTGATTTGGTTATCCATTAAAAGTCATTGCTACAAATCAACACTTGTAATTAAGAACTCCATTGGTGCTCAAACCTTACGGGTTAAACTTAAGTTGCTAACATACGTAAGTCCCGATTATACTAATAATGTCCTCCAGACCGTATTTCGGCCACGGCGACCTGCCTCAACGGAGGCTAGCCATCGGCGCAGGACAGGATTATAGTGCCCAAGTGTATGCGCAAGCACAGGTGCACTCTCTATTCCCTCGCTCTCGTAATCCGAACGGACGGTAAACCGACACAACCGGGGGAGAGATCAAGCGCAGGACCAACGGCTTTACGTGCTTTCCGAGGCACGGGGGTGAGACACCGCCAACTTCCTGACTCCAGGCAGCTACTGGGAATTTCTTGACAGAAAAACTCAACAATTGATTTTTTGGCTCAACGCGGGATTCGAAACCAGGACCTCATGAACAGCAGTTGCATTACTACAACCACTAGACCAACGAGGCAGTCAAAAGCCGATTATACTAGCTTATCTATGGTACGTAATAAGTGAGCACTTACCTTCTTAGCTAGACTGTGGCTGACTTTCCCGTGTTTGGATAAGAAAAACTTTATAATGTGTTAGAAGTCCATTTGACGGTGATTGGCTACTATAATGATCGCGGATATTTGCAACTATTTTTGTTATAGGATAAGGGTGACTAATGTGCACACATTCCACCTGATGGTTATTGGTTGCTGTGGTCTATAGCACCATAGCACATCTACATTTACCCTGGATAAGAATCAAAATACAGATGCGTTGTCACCTGTGAGGACTAAGATAGAATGCCTCGTTTCTAGTTAAAAGGGTCTTCGATTCTCAACACGAATACGAAAATACGAAACAGCAGCGTTGAGCTGCTAGTTTACTTTGATATTCTGTGAAAGCATGGTCCTTCCTCAATAAAGCCGACTCAAAATTTCAAAAAAAGTAGTACGGTGTCAACTTCGAGGACTAAAATAAAATGCTTCACAACCTATAATTATCTGTTATACGTAATGTAATAAGCCATTTCAAATGCTCTGAGTAATATGAGCCTATAATACTACTACATTAGTCCTCAACGCATCTACAGCCGTCTTTGTTAGAAATTGTTTGCATGTGCCCATATACCATTGACTGCGTGCGTGTGTCACTTTGGTTTTATTAAAAAAAACTAAAGATTTTTATTAAAAATCATAATATCGTATATCACAACTTCTGCCGCCAAGTATACGACACGCAGATTTACTGCAAATATATTTGGTGTGCTTCGGCCTTAAATAACAACTTTTGTAGGAGAAATTAACAATTGCAGTAGTAACGGATCGTATGATGGGACGATATAAAAACACCACGCCTGCTCGGCTCGTGATAAATTGTATAGATATCGACAACTGTAATAAAAAAAATTAAAACCGTGTTCTTTACTTTAGCAACTAAAACACATCACAACAACTATTCCGGATCAGGAAGAAATCGACGAAAGTTTGTTTCCTCTTTCAATAAGCCGCAGAAGAAAATAAATTATTCCAAACTTTATTTTGGGACTCATAAAAGGAGAGATTTTTCCGAGACTGAAGAAGAACATTCTAAAGTTAAAGAGGGTGATAGCAACGTAGACCAAAGTAAAGATGAAAAGACTGCTTCATCAAATGAAGGTAAATAAGCTATATCTATTTCTGTTGTAAAATTCCGAGCAAAATACACAACTGTGACGTTTTTATCATCAAACTCCATTTTTATAGATTTTTTTTGCGTCACTGATGCTGATATTCTGAACATGCTTGTTCAGAACCTATCTTAGAATTGAATTATGAGAATAAGCTTGATCTGTTTTAATATCACATAAGATTAATTTGAGAGTCTAAGTTGAATATTCTTTCAGATGATAATATACAGAATAATGTTATATTTCAAATACGGGAAATTGATAACGGTGACGAATCAGCTAACGAAGGAAGCTTTGTAGGTGACGCCGAATTCGAAGCTAAATCTGATAATGGTGAGGAAATATCACCTACTAACAATAAAGAATCACAAGAAAGTGAACAAGAGGGTAGTATTCGAAACGTGGACGAAACACAAAACGTAGACGCAGAAGACCAAAAAAGCGATAATGAAGTATCCTTGATTAAACTTGAAGTTAATGAAAATATTAACTCAACTAATGGAGTAGAAGGTCTGGAACCAAATGAACAAGATAAAGAAAGCGTAGAAAGTGAAATAACGGAAGAAAATCAATTGAATGAAATCAATACAGAAAATACTGACGACGATAGCAAAAACGGAAAAATTATGGAATACTATGAATTATCGGAGGAAGACAACAAAGTAGCTTTTTCATCAGAATTGATTAAAAATAATGCAACGGGTGAGAAGAAGAGCAACACTTCAAACAAGACCACTCACAAAGCACTTATCGACCACTCCGACGTGGTATATTATAATGATGGTATGTATTTTTTTTTATAAAAATATAACGATGAAAATAATAGCTTGCAATGTAGCGCCACCACTATATGAGAATGCACCACCCATATCATTCCGTGTGTATCATAAGAGGCGATAGAGGAAAACTGAAATGAGATAGAGGAACAGATCAAAATAATAATACACTTCGGTTGCTAACACTCTTGCTAACAATGATGGTAAAGTGACAATCATGGCAAATAATCACCTCATCTGGCAATTTATGGGGGAGGCCTATATTCATTAGTGGGTTGCTGTTGTTCCATACTTAAGTAATAGGACACAGAACATAATTTTTAGTTTTTTTATTAAGGCGACAGTAGCCTCATGGCAGGGCGCGGACCGCGAACTCAAAAAGGTCGTGGGTTCGAATGCGCCATTCGACTACTGGCGTATACCACTCGTAACACAAGCAGTTTAAGTTTACCACGAGTGGTTAAGGGGAATTTTAGTAATGTTTATAGCATTGTTAATATTATATTTTTTTAATTAAAATAATTTAAAAAAATTAAAAAAGCTATAACTTTTAATAATGGTAAAAGCTCTTCCGGTCCACTTGTATTAATAGGTTTTCTTTTTAATATGATATAGTTGACAAACCAGCACACAGTACACCTGATAGTAAGTGGTTGCCGTGAACCGTAGACATCTATCCTCGATTACGAATCAAAATGCAGATATGCGTTGTTACCCGTGAGGACTAAGATGGAATGCATCGTTTCCAAAAAGGGTCTCCGTTTCTCGACACTAACCAAACGAAACACAGTGCGTTAATCTGCTATTTTATGCTGGTATTCTGTGAGAACGTGGTCCTACCCTACGTGTTATAACTATAGTATACCTGCAGCATGGCTCTACCACTTATTGTTTACCGAGGACCAAGCTGTTCCTTACCCAGTCGAGCCGACCCATTTGTTCTACAATTATACCAGTATATATAGCTGCAGCATGGTGTAATATAGGAAAGGTGTCAACGAAGGAAACGTGTAGTTGGTACTAAGACTTTAATTAGACTGCCTCATTATTCTACCTTAACACTAAAGTATACTAAAGTGGGGGCACTACTCTACACCTTCCACCATAAAAGAATAAAAAATATGCTATATTTTTTATTTACTTTTACTTTTTATCTAAGACATGTCTAGCTCTCAAAAATGCATAGTTACAGTAGTATAACTGACATAATGAGGCATAATTATGTATAACATAAAATCGGGTTTTGATTTTAACGAAAATTTACAATATTATTTATTCGTATCCTTAATCATTTTATTATTATGCCTGCCATTTATTTAAACAGGACATTAACCTTAATATATATAAATTACGTGTCACGTTGTTTGTGCGCGGTGGGCTCCTAAACTACTCAACCGATTTTAATCAAATTTGCACACCGTGTGCAGTTTGGTCCAACTTGAAAGATAGGATAGTTTTTTTCCATGAGTGACCCACAAATATTTTTTTACGAATTTAAGGATTTTTAATAGGGTTCTTAATAGGGGACAAAGGGTCACCGAAAAAGGGCAGAACAACTTCTGCCTGGCAAGCTAGTATATAATATTCTCTTATTCCTCATGTTCTTTTACATTTCAATATTTTATTTTATTCTTTTTTTTGTCATATATTTACTTCATTCTTAGTTAACCATTATTTATTTTCCATTTTTATCCATAACTAACACTTTGACTATTCATTACATATGTATGTCATTTCTTTCACGTACACGGCTCGCGTACATACATGATCAAGAATTATATCGATACGATATCATTTAATTCACTTCTTTACATTTCAGCTCACCTAATTCCTTATTTAATTGTACCATAACTTTCACGTACATGGCTCGCGTACATACATGATCAAGATAATGGAAAATATTCCTATATAATTCATAATAAATTATCATTTCCGTCATTAAAAATACATTAAAACTTATTCCGCATTTAATCGTGTCCGAACAACCTTAAAAAATTAATCGGCTATTAGTTTTTCCAAACTCTGAGCTGATCAAGCTGATTGTATGTGGATATACTAACCTCCGATAATTTTCTTTATCTTACTCTCGCAACTATACATTATCAATATTTTCATTTATAATTATGTATTCCGTAACTTAACCATACATTTAATCACATCTTTTACTTTATATCATAAAATAGTCTGGTATAATATTTAGTTACAGTGTCAGTCAGGGATTGAGGCTCATAATATGGGAACAACAAAATTTAAATCAATTATTATAGTTGTGTTAAACATTATATAGTGAGTTTCAAAATCGTATTATGCGAAGAAAATACTTTCATAATCTACTCAAATTAGTAGTAGTTTTCCAAGAAAATAATAAATTATAATAGTTAGAAGCTTATGATTTAAAATATTCAAACAATATAAAACCGAAAATAAATTCTTACATTTCACATTAAGATAAACAGAACAAAGAAGTCAATGTTAAGCAACGTAATCATTATAATTAATATAACAACACACAGATCAAAATACAAATTGTAATCCTAACACCGCAAACAATTGGAGACAACTTTGTTTTAAATTCCAAAGTACGTATAAGGCATCGTTAGTAATTACATCGGACTATGGGCACGGTGTGATTCACGCCTAATTTTAAGATAACATGTACAATATGTTATAATATGAATGCAAGTAAAATGTACCTAAAAAAGGTAGTTTTAAACATTTCCTTAATTTACACAGAAGTTTAGAAATAGTTAAATTGTTAATATTTATCATTGAGCTGTTATGTACTACGTACTAGAGGCGACACTGCATCCAGCTACTCTGTTCCACTCAACTGCGGTGCATACACCGCACTTTAATCAGTCACTCGCTAGGCGCTTATAGAGCTGTTCCATGTTGTGTTGATTGAAAAAAAAATTCTTGATAAAAATATGCCGTCGTGTGTACTTAGATATAGCACAAATAATTCAAGAAATGTCAGTAAAAACCAAGGAATTACTTTTCATCGGTTAAAAAGATACTTAATCAATAAAAAAGTATTATAGTTTAATAATAAAACAAATTATTCCTAAGACGCCATCTCGTGTCATGGGATATAGATTATGAAATTAGATTTCTATGGGTATAGGACGAGTATATTATTATACAATTTTTTTTGTAGAAACATTTTATTTACATCGGTTATTATAATTAGGCTTAATTTTTCATATTTAAATCTGCTTATTATTCTTTTATTTTATTTTTAGGTTTCCACATCAAAATCAAAGTGGTATAAATTCGTCGATTTTTAAAACTCGCGTGCCCAGCATTTATGAACGACTCTCAATCTATTTTAAATATAATTTAAAATTATTTAAATGTTATGTTAATAAGTTTTATTAAACATACATTTAGTATGTTTTTTTATTTATGACATAAATACCGTTTAAAATATTCAGATAAAAATATCATCAAAATGTAATTGTGATATAATAATATCTATATTATATTAAATAAGCAAATATAATATACAAAATAAATGACAAAATTTAAATATTGTCCTCGATATAATTTACCTATTTAACAATATAATCTACTATTACCTAATGATCATTCTACCTATGTTTATTCCACGATAAAAAACCAACCGCGCTAACACAGAGTACCGCACATTTTTTGTTTGAAGTAGCTGTTCTAGTACGTAAGTACATAATATTACTTCAATGATATTTATGTTATTTTTACATACATCATAAAATGCATTAGCTTTTAAAAAAAATACTTTTGCTATAAATATGACATTTATTAGATTGTATACAGAAAAATTGATAATCACTATAGCAGCTATAAACTTTACACAACGATAGATAATTTATTTAAACATCATATAGAACAATTTTTTAATATTTTAAGTAATTTATTATATAAATTAATGATGTAGTGCCTTTAGAAAAGAAAAAAAAGAAAACAATAATAGCAAATCGGTTATAACTCTTTTCAAAATTGTGTACCTACATTTAAATAAAATTTACTACAGAAAAAAAACACACAAAATGTATCATCAGTGATACGTTAACTACAAAATATGAAAAATTAATTAATGATAAACAATTGTAAATGTAAATACGTAAAAATGTAATCTTCATATTATTTCATTCATGTTTTGCAGGACACAGTAATAAAAGTAATATAAAACTATAACTAAATAAAAGTGAATATAAAATCAAGTGCTAGATTATTGATTAATTTATAATTGCATTATGCTTATTTATTCAGTAATAAAAAATATTAAAAAAAAAAACAATTAAATCGTGAATTATATGATAAATACTTTCGATTTAACCATATGTCAAATACAGATCATTTAATACCATTGAGCTATTATGTACTACGTACTAGAGGCGACACTGCATCCAGCTACTCTGTTCCACTCAACTGCGGTGCATACACCGCACTTGAATCAGTCCCTCGCTAGGCGCTTATAGAGCTGTCACGTGTTGTGTTGATTTAAAAAATCTCTTGATAAAAATATGCCGTCGTGTGAACTTAGATATTGCACAAATAATTCAAGAAATGTCAGTAAAAACCAAAGAATTACTTTTCATTGATTAATAAGATACTTAATCAATAAAAACGTATTATGTATAAATAATAAAACAAATTATTCCTAAGACGCCATCTCGTCATGAAATATAGATTATGAAATTAATATGTTCAGATGCGACATTTCTGTGGGTACTTAAGTATAGGACGAATATATTATACACATTTTTTTTGTAGAAACATATATAAGTTATTATAATTTGGCCAAATTTTTCATGTTTAAATCTACTTATTATTCTTTTATTTTATTTTTAGGTTTCCACATCAAAGTCAAAGTGGTATAAATTCGTCCATTTTAACTCTCGCGTGCCCAGCATTTATGAACAACTTTTATTCTAATTTAAATAAATATATTTGTAATTTAAATGTTATGTTAATAAGTTTTGTCAAACATACATTTAGTATGTTTTTTATATTTGACTTAGATACTTTTTAAAATATTCAGATAAAAATATCATTAAAATGTAATTGTGATATAATATTATGTAATATTATATTAAATAAGCAAATATAATATACAAAATAAATGACAAAATTTAAATATTGTTCTCGATATAATTTACCTATTTAACAATACAATCTACTATTACCTAAGAATCATTCTACCTGTGTTTATTCTATGATAAAAAAAACAATCGCGCGAACACAGAGTAGCGCACATTTTTTGTTTGAGATAGCTGTTCTAGTTCGTAAGTACATATTACTTCAATGTTTAATACATAACTAAAAGCAAAAACAACACTAAAAAAATATTAAAGTTTTAAATGGAATTAACCCTCCGTGCACCAGGTGATTAAAAGTCTCTTCTCATACTACCTAGGTGGTTGTGACAAATCCCAAAATATAAAACTGATAAAATTTACATTATTTAGCGCAATAAATAAATATTGTATTCTACCACATAAATGATAGTACTTTTATACTGATAATTAAAGCAATTCGTGCAAAATTGTTCCCTAACCATTCCAAAATATCAAAAATGCACAACGTTTAATATTCAAGTTTTCACTTCTGCCGGCACTCCCGGAGTACAACCCGTCGTTTTTTTTTTCCTAATGTTATAAAAACTTTTCTAATGTTACAATAACTTTTCTAATGTTATAATAACTTTTCTAATGTTATAATAACTTTTCTAATGTTATAATAACTTTCTAATGTTATAATAACTTACATTGATTTTTCAGTGGACAAGGAGCAATATAATAAGGACTGTCCGTCCGTTTGTCCAGCTCGGGATGTAATGGTTTGTGCTCGTAAAGAAGACGGTGAATACAAAACTTTCTTGAGCGTATGTCATCTCAGAAAAGACAACTGTGATAATCCTAATTACAGTGAGTAAACTTGAACAAGGTTTATCCTTAAAGTTGTAAAAATTTAGTTGAACGCGTAGTAAATTAAAATGGTGTCTTAACTAGTTTGAAGAACACTTCTAACCCTTCTGACGGCTAAATGAATCCTTCTGACGGTTACTTAAACTAGGTAAAACCAAAAAAGAAGATAAGAATTAACATCTTTATTAAGGTAAGGTACTCTTGACTTCTCGGACCATTGTCTGATCCGGAGTACTGTGCCACTCACGCATCCATCGCGGTTGCGTTCTGCGGATTGCCGCCATGTTTGGCATTATAGGTCAGCCGATTGGGACGGGATGCGATCTTTTTTTGCATCCTACTCTTGGAGGCGGGTTTGCTTCTCGTCGGATGATCCCAGCGTTGTTGCTGATTCTGTCGCTGATGTGGTGTTACAGGGAATGGAACTTTCTATTCCATCATCTGTAGTACCTACTCGTGGGCCAATCCTATAGATTTATATATTTGTCCCTTTTTAGTGTCGCTTTTTCGTTTCATTGAGTTTCAAATCATAAGAATGACAAAGAAATTTCACTACAATAAAGAAAAAAGTTAAGTTAGGTACATTCTGTAAAGTACTTTTATCGGGCACGGGCATCCATCCGTCCGACCTTATTTCTGAGAGAGGATTAGGGAAAGAATATGCAGGTTTCCTCATGTTTTCTAGACCTTAGATCCAGATTTATATGAAATATTGCTGATGTATTATGTGCCGATTACAGTATAACTGTACGATTATAACCTATTATATACAATAGACGCTAGGATTCTCACAGCTCGTGATCAATGCATGTGGTTTTAGTTTTTTTTAATCGAATATTATTTTTTTCAGAATGGGAATTAGTCTCGCGGCAATCTTGCATGCTATCTCCTCCAGTTTTCGAGATGCCATCTTTAAAAGGTAGAGTGAGAGAGCCCAATGACGAAGATGTAGTTTTGCAATACATACGATGCAGAAAAAATGATAATTTTGGTAAGTTATGTCGGTGGAATACAAAACGTATTTAATTTGTTTATTTTTTTAAACAGTGGTGACAAACAAGCACACAGTCCCCCTGATGATAAGTGGATGTTATGACCCAAAATGTCTACATCTATTCTCGTTAAAGTATCAAAATGCAGATGCGTCGTCACTGATGAGAACTACACAATGGAAAGCACGTTTCCAGTGAATACCACATTAAGAATTCGCAGTTACACACATGCAGGCGCAGTAATCCCATATTTACCTGCCACTTGTTTTTTTCCTTCTTTTTTAAAAAAAAATTGTAATCTTTTTGATTAACATTACTAATACATTAGGCACGTTTAGAAAGCACTTAAAATATCTCCTAATAAACGAACAGAAGGGCATAGTTAATAAATAGGAGTATTGTTAAAGAGGTTAGACGTTAGCTACTGATATTTCGTTTACATATTATTTATTACGTTATTACATATTATTATTTATTACAAAAAGCCTATTAAACGTATGTATCTATGTATATGTATGTATGTGTACGTGTATATATATATATATATATATATATATATATATATAAAAGTTTATAATATACACTGTTAAATTAAATTATTACACTTACTAATAAAGAGGTATAGACGTTAGCTACTGATATTTCGTTTACATATTATTTATTATGTTATTACATATTATTATTTATTACAAAAAGCCTATTAAACGTTTGTATCTATGTATATGTATGTATGTGTACGTATATATATATATATATATATATATATATATATATATATATATATATATATATATATATATATATAAAGTTTATAATATACACTGTTAAATTAAATTATTACACTTACTAATAAAGAGGTTAGACGTTAGCTACTGATATTTCGTTTACATATTATTTATTATGTTATTACATATTATTATTTATTACAAAAAGCCTATTAAACGTTTGTATCTATGTATATGTATGTATGTGTACGTATATATATATATATATATATATATATATATATATATATATATATAAAAGTTTATAATATACACTGTTAAATTAAATTATTACACTTACTAATAAAGAGGTTAGACGTTAGCTACTGATATTTCGTTTACATATTATTTATTATGTTATTACATATTATTATTTATTACAAAAAGCCTATTAAACGTTTGTATCTATGTATATGTATGTATGTGTACGTATATATATATATATATATATATATATATATATATATATATAAAAGTTTATAATATACACTGTTAAATTAAATTATTACACTTACTAATAAAGAGGTTAGACGTTAGCTACTGATATTTCGTTTACATATTATTTATTATGTTATTACATATTATTATTTATTACAAAAAGCCTATTAAACGTATGTATCTATGTATATGTATGTATGTGTACGTGTATATATATATATATATATATATATATATATATATATATGTATATATATATATAAAATTTTATAATATACACTGTTAAATTAAATTATTACACTTACTAATAAAGAGGTTAGACGTTAGCTACTGATATTTCGTTTACATATTATTTATTATGTTATTACATATTATTATTTATTACAAAAAGCCTATTAAACGTATGTATCTATGTATATGTATGTATGTGTACGTGTACTCACCGGCACGGAAATTTGGCCAAGCGGTTATCTCGCGATAGCAAAAGCTTTAAGTGTTTCTGATGAATGTTTGTTATGCAAGTATGTCAAAAAATGTTTACCCTCAAGTTCAAGAGGGTAATTCATTATGTTTAAGTGCACCATGACGAATTATTTAATTTTTGGTTGAATCGGGTCATTTGAGCGACTAAGTTCACATTTTAAATTTGTGTGTTGTGAAAAGTTTACTGTAAGGTTATTCAATTATTGTGATCTTGTGTCTTAATTAAATAACTAAAGGTGCTTTAAAGCCAATAAAATGCCATTAACACCAGCACAAGTTGCACAAGCAGTAGCATTAATTGACCAAGGGCTGACACAGCGTGAAGTTGCTATTGTGCTTAACGTACCACGGTCCTCAATGCAGTATTCACTGAAACGATACCAGGAGACAGGCCGCTACACCCGCAGGCCAGGCAGTGGGGGCGGAAGGTGCACATCGGGCCGGGACGATCGTTTTATTGTTATGGAGATTTTGAGAAACCGCTACCTGACCGCTGTTGAGATACGCCAGCGGCTCCAAATCGCAAGAGGCGTTAATGTTAGTGAGCGTACGGTGAGAAGACGAATGGAGGAAGTGAATTTAAAAGCTCGTAGACCAGCACGAGGTCCAGAACTTCTCAGACAGCACCGAGTAGCCCGACTTCAGTTCGCAAGAGAACATGTCAATTGGACCCACGAGCAATGGGCTAGAGTGTTGTTCACAGATGAGTGTCGAATAGCTTTACGTGCTCCAGACGGTCGAGAACGAGTGTGGAGAAAAAGAGGAGAGAGGTTTCTACCCATTACCACCACCCAAACTGTGAGTTTCCATGGAGGCTCAATAATGGTATGGGGAGGTGTAAGTTCCGACGCACGTACAGAGTTGATCATCGTCGATAATCGGCTTACAGCTACTCGATACATCGAGGAAGTTCTTCAGGAGCACGTAATGCCTTATTCGGGATTCATTGGACACGACCAATTCCTCCTCATGCACGATAATGCACGCCCGCACGTCGCACATTGTGTAGAGGAATATCTGGAAGAGGTTGGAATACAAAAATTACAGTGGCCAGCTCGTAGCCCGGACTTAAATCCAATTGAGCGTGTATGGGGTATGCTCAAAAGAAAGATAAAGTCCAGCTCCAAACCGCCACAACTGTAAATGAGCTCCGAAATGCAGCGCTGGCCGCTTGGGACAGCATACCGCAAGTTGATGTCAGAAACATCATTCAAAGCATGCCAGATCGAATGCAAGCGGTTATCAGGGCTAGAGGAGGAAACACCCGATATTAAAACTGATAGACAATAAAGAAACAGACTTAATTTTTAACTTTGTAGTGTTTTTAAAGTGACAATGGAAAGATGTTAATTTTAGTGAAAACATGTTATCTTGAAAAGAAAAATTTCGGTGAAGTAAACATTAAATTTCTATGTTCTAAAACCATTAGAGACACTTATTGAATGCATCTACCCTTAATTTACTGTTAAAAAAACGTTTCAGTGCAAATAATCAGCAAATTCACGAGTGGCCAAGTTTCCGTGCCGGTGAGTTTATATATATATATATATATATATATATATATATATATATATATATATATATATATATATATATATATATATATATATATATATATATAAAAGTTTATAATATACACTGTTAAATTAAATTATTACACTTACTAATAAAGAGGTTAGACGTTAGCTACTGATATTTCGTTTACATATTATTTATTATGTTATTACATATTATTATTTATTACAAAAAAGCCTATTAAACGTTTGTATCTATGTATATGTATGTATGTGTACGTATATATATATATATATATATATATATATATATATATATATATATATATATATATATATATATATATATATATATATAAAAGTTTATAATATACACTGTTAAATTAAATTATTACACTTACTAATAAAGAGGTTAGACGTTAGCTACTGATATTTCGTTTACATATTATTTATTATGTTATTACATATTATTACGAGGGTGGATTGAAAAGTACTCGGCCTAAACAAGAAAATAAACACATACTAAATCAGTTATATTTTTATTTTTCTACATAATCACCATCAAGTTCAATACACTTTTGCCACCTCCCCTTCCAAGCATTTAGACCGTTGAAAAAAAATGATTCTTCCTTAGAGTCAAAATATGCGTCTACAGCTGCTTTGACCTCGTCGTTTGTCGAAAATCTTTGACCTCCCAAGTGCTTTTTTAGGTTAGGGAACAGAAAGAAGTCTGATGGTGCCAGATCAGGTGAATACGGCGGATGCGGTAACAGTTCAAAGCCACAGTTGTGAATTTCAGCCATTGACTGTACTGACT